GCATATGAAATCTATATTTACGGCAGCTGATTGTAAAAGCAGCGAGCAATTAGACTAGTGTTTCGCTAACATACATCGTTCAGATTTGACGCTATCCCGATAAACGGATATCCGGATAGCGTCAAATCCGAACGAACCTTGAAGCCTTAATGCACATGAAATCTATATTTACGGCCGCCGACTGTAAAAGCAGCGAGCAATTAGACTGATGTTCAAATCCACACGTTATTTATATGTGCTGGTGTCGCGATTGCAATACAGGTGACAAAAAAAGAGATAAAATTATTTAATACATGCGCGAATTGTGCGTAACGTTTTTCGATACGTGTCGTGGTTTTGATGCGTTAATTTCGGTCCGTTCATTGTCAGTCCAGCCGTTACCCGGGTTAAACAAAACTCCCAAAATGCGCAATCGTTATTAGCGGGTACAGCGACGCGTGTCGTCACGAGCCATTTTCACTATCCGAGGGCAGCAAATTCGTTTTTCGCTGCAAACATCGAAATACATTACATTCACACATTTGTTACAAAGAATTTGCGTTAACAGCATGCAGATGCGGCATCCTGTTAATTCCTATCCATTATTTTTTCTCCATTGCGATATGCGAATTAATACTCTTTAATAAGGTGGAAATCATACAATAATATGTGTTTTTCTGTTAGCTTTTAAGCGGTTAGGATAGAAAGATTTTATTGAAATTTAAGTCTCGGTCTATTGAATCCGAGAATTAAAAACAGATTGTTACTATTTTTCTAAAAATGAATATTTATTTATTAAAATTGAAATAAAAATTATATCCTGTACTGCATTTTCTGTTTTATAGTGCACATAATATGTAAACATACAATTTTTATATTATTTTATTTAAAGTAATTAAATCAGAAATATAGCTTCGTAAGATAATTCATTGAAAAATCTCATATAAAATTGTTTTTATTACAAATTTATTTTATGGAAATGTATTATTTTAATTTAAATAATTATAATATACTAATGTAAATAGCACAATATATTGTTGAAATATTATACATATCTATTTCTTATTTTAAATAATAAATTAGAGATTTGGCATTACTTTAGTGTGTTCTTAAGTTTCTCGGATTAACTTATCAAGTATGTAAAAAAGCCGGGAAAATTGTCGGAACTCACGAAGAAAGGAGGTAAAGTTGTCTCCATCTAAAAAGGATTTCCCTGTGAAACTTTTAAAATATATTCCGTCCTTCCCCTTACCTTCATCAGGTTATCCCGCTTTTGGTTTTACCTCAGTTTGAACTTTGCAAGCATAATAATCCAGGTCTCAAAACAAGCCGAGATAAAGGACAATTTTTGCCCAACGCCCGTTCCGAGATGGGTATATATGAATATGTGCGATGAAAACTATACCACGGTTTGTTCTGTTGAATACGAATAATAACGAAACTATAGTAATACCACATTTATTAACAAGCATCAATCGCCATTATTGATCATGCGATAATGATATGTTTCTCCATATGCGGCCTTGTTTATCGTTACACGTAACAATAAATTACATCCGATACCTCTGATCCGATTACGATAGCTAATAACTAAATAATATCTGCACGTAAAGCGAATAGAAACAAATATTAATCACGCCGCCGTTGGTCGCCGGCGATCCGTAAACAATAATTCGCGTCGCAGTGCAAAATTAATTTTTACGACCCCGTCGATTAAACGCTCGGCGGCCGCGGCGCCGCTCGAAAGCGTGGGACGGAGGGGGAAGGGAGGTGGGAGAGGGAGGGCTAATGATTCATCAATTTCAATTTCGATGATTTACACGCCGGTGAAATTACGCTCCGAACGTTTTGCCGCGAAGAAATACGATCGGCCTGCGTAATCATCGCGCGCTCGATGTATCGAGCCTCTCTCGTTCAATCGATCGGCCCTTTTTTTTCGCGCCCATTTTCGGACGTACCCTCGCCTCGTGAGAGTGCGTTATTGCACCAGGGCGATCTCCGGCGCGGCGGCGGTCGCGCGTCGAGTGCGGCGGCGGTCATCGAGCCGCCTGCTGCATTATTTCCGACATAATCGCATTCGTCCGCGGTTTATTGGCTCGCCGTTAAATCGATATATTGGGCGCGCGCGGAAGGATAACCTGCCAAATGAGTTCCTCCGATGGAAATTTGCTCGTCCACAAAATTTGTCGCTCATTCGGTATGTTTGAGAGCTCGACGACAATACCTTGTTCCCTCTCGCGCAAAACATGTAATATTTTTGAGAGCGGTTAAAACGACGGAAAAGACGAGAAAACACGGAAGTATATAAATAAGAGATTTAAGCGAAAACAAGAAATTTCATTTAGAAATGTACACGAAAAATAGAACGCGCTCGCGCGCGCACACGTATGCACACACGCACACACCGCACGAAGATTAAAATATATTAAATGTACCGTGTAAAAATGTACGTACTCGCGCTGCACGTTTGCTTTATGTGACGCGCTTTATTTGATGATAGCGCGAGAGGCACTTCAATATACGGCTCATCGCAATACACTTCGTTCGCGGAGCCATGGCAAGCGTCGTTTTTAATCACCGCGAGCACCGACACTAAAGGGAAAGCCCGACAGTTATTGAGCTATTCAGCTCGCCGTGGGTGGTAACGCGGGTAACGCGGGGATCCCGTAAATCCCCCCCATGTAAAATCGGGCGGGCGTGCGGCGACAGCGGCCGTAGGTGCTTCGATTTACCGTGTTTTCGCTTCCGCCCATGCCGGTGGCGATATTAACGCGATGAAATGGATCAACGCGTCGCGGACGAGACGCGACGCCAGGCGCGGCGTACGAAACAGAATTTACACGAGCTTTTAGTTAACGCGCGCGTCTCGCCCTGCGAGACTTCTCTTTTACCTCTTCTCGTACCACGACTTAACGAAAAGCAATAGTTTTGCCAGCAGCGTCAGTGCCCGAAGAGCGCGCACAAGTGTTTTCACCTCTTTCCTTCGAACACTCGGCTCGGCGCACAACCTCCGTCGTTGTCGTTGTCGCCGTCGTCGTCGTCGTCGTCGTCGTCCCTTTTGTATACCGCGCGCGTTTCCCAGTCGCAATTTATAACCCTCTCGCGGGGAGCACTCTCTCGGTCCCTCCCTCCCTCTACCTCTCCTTCTTCCTTTCCTTTTTTTTCTCTTTCGCAACGAAGTCGATCTCTGCAACTTAGCTGGCGTCCCTGTTTTATTGGGCGCGATCTGTATTTACGATCACCCGCTCCAGAGATGGACCGTTTTATTCCGCCGCTGTTACACCGTCAATGTGCAATGAGGTAGGTTATTGGCGTCGATAGAGATTACGGATTTCATTCAGCTGAGGCTGTATTATTTGTTTCTTTCTGTGTTATCGATAAATTGGTTCATTATTAATGTTCTTACTTCACGTTTGTTTGTAAATTGAAAAAAAACGAAAAAACTATTATCTGAATTGCTTTCGAAGCAAACGCGAGCAAGGAAGCGTTTTTCTTTTATGCAGTCATTAATATTTATAATTGATGAAATTTTTCCACCGGTGGCGACTGGCAATTTCGCGACTGTAAGCGAAAAACACGGTATTGTAGATTATCAATCAATGCACGGAAGGATCGATTAGTCTGCTATTCAGAGAGCCGTCGTTGCGAAAGTGGAGCTCATTGAAAAATTCTCCTCGAGCGAGCATCGAGTTCGCGGGCGAAATCGACCGCGCTTCTCTCGCATCGGTAACGCTCGAAGGTTCCTGCCACGACTTTTCCAGGGCGGACCGGAGAAGTATCGGCCGGAAATCTAAGGCTGCGCGGAGCCTTCCGAAGGGAGAGAGTATCGAGGCCGAACCGACGACCCGAAGAAAAAGAAACCGGTCACTTATCGAGCCTTCTTCACCAGTGGTTTTCACCCGCAAACCACTCGAAACTCCTTTTCACGTTCCGGAAAGCCGCGCGTTATCGCCGGATATCAACCACGGACTGTATCCTCCCCCGGAATAACGCCTCATTCGCTCATGCGTACGGAGTGAAGCCACTCGTTTTTCCAGGAAGAAGAGGTACTCGTAGAGATTCTAGTCCAAAGGATTTCTTTGTCGAGAAGAATCGATCTCAATATTCAGTATAGCAAACGTCATTATCTGGAAGAGCACGAAGCGATACAGCGCGGATGTTCCGGACGCTAATCGATTCCGTTCGAGAGAATTCTAAATAAAATGCCAGAGATGCGATCCGAGAACGTATTTTGTGGAAAAAAGAATTCCTATCTTGATGCTCGCGTGATCGAGCTGTGAAGCAATCGTAAAGTAAGATCGTGAACAAACGACGAAATTAATATTGCCCTTTGTCATTAAAGCGGGGTCATCGCTGAGGTACAGACCGTCGAGGCTTCCGCGTGCGTACGTCGACAGTTTGACAGAAGTGAGCCCATTCAGTCAGACTCGGACTCGACAGGAATTGATAACGAGCCGCCGCTTGAATCCAAGCAGTCCACTCCGCGTGAGGGTTCCGTTTCAGCTAGATCCTCCGATCGCGAGAGCAGGATCCATTTGCTCAAGTGTGATCCGATTTCCCGCTGTCGCCACGATTGTCAGGCGTATCTTTTTAAGGAGTCTTCCGAAGGAAGATTACGCACGGCCGAGAAGCTACCCTTCACTCGCCAGATACCACGTAATCGCGTAGAGAGCGAAGAAGGTACGGAAGAAAGGGTAAGTTGGTCGCTATATTGAACGCTCTCCCATCCCCGCGTCTGTCCTCCCGCTTTCCCGTCAATCGGGGATGAACGCCGAGCGAAATTCACTCATGCGTGAGGGGTGACACAACCGCACGTTCGGAAGTACGCGTCCCGATGGGACGGAATCGCGTTTTCAGTGCGGCGCAGTCAAAAGATAGAGAGAGTGAAAGAGAAAGCGAGAGAGGGGGGCACGTCAGCATCACGTAGCTCGATGGACCACGAAGAGTCTAACGGAAGAAGGAACGGAAGAAGGAACGGGGAAAGAAGGGACAGTAGAAATCGCCGGAGACGACATCTAGGGACGGAGCTCGGTCACTGAAAATCGAGGAGGAGCGAGGCGTAGCCACGACCTGGAAACGGACGATGATCACGGGATAGTCCCTGGGAAATATGGGAGGATCTACGCTCTCGACCACTCGGAGACGGACGTCTTTTGTACTTTTATAAAAGTATCATCGTCGTCGAAGTGCGCCCGGGACCAATCGCGCTTAGCTTCCTTCCGTATTAAGGCCGGTATCGATCATCTTCATCCTCCTCGTCGTCGATACTCGAAAGAACTGGTGCCTTGGTTGATTCGCTCCGGTATTTTCCCCGAGCCCCGAGCTTCAAGAATTCTCTCTCGCTCCGCGGGAAAGGAGAGCGGATTGTAAATTAGGAAATTGCCAGCTATTTTCCTTCTGATCGGATAACTGCTGCCTAATTGATAGCGTCTATTAAAGAACGAATAAATCGCAAGTAGATAGAATATTCGATATCGGTTGTTTAACATTTCAATTCGCAGAAAAAATTATTGAACAGAAGGCACTGGCTTTCTCTTTGTTTATACGGATCTTTTTGAAATTATTCGATGATTTCGAATCTTTAAGTTTCGAAGGATTTATAAAATGACATAAGAGACAGTTCCTTCATCGCAAAGACGTAAAATTCCAACTTTTCCGAACGTCGGTATCAAATTCATCGCTCAGACACTTCGAGCAGCCTTCAAGAAGAACGGTGCCTTGCCCATCATGTGCTCATTTTTCGGTCATCCGTAAGTCGAGCTTTATCGTGTCTGAGAAACGACGGGAGAAAGAAGAATCGTGCAATTTCTGGCCGCGCACGTTTTATTGGATATCCTTTGTCCGTAATTGCGGGACGTGCTCATCCCGACGAATCGTCTACGAAAGATATGAAGCGCCGCGCTGTCTCTAGCTGCGACGAGACACTCGCAGAACAGGGATCTTAATTTCAACCGGATAAAATCGTCGGAAAGAGTAAAGCCAACGAGATGTGAACGAGATCGTCCGACTGTTCCGATTGGTTCCGATTGTTTCGTAACGAACGAATTAAATTACCTCGCTGGAGCGTGGCGACGTCAACACTACGATTGGAATCTTGAGATTACGTCGGGAAAGAGGATATTACGCGACAAATTGGAGGCTATACCAATGCGAACATCGATCCCTTTTGAGAATCAAGTGATAATCGTTAGTATTCAACGGGCTACGAAATTAGACAAGCTTCTGATTCAGTTCTAATCGAAATAATTTCTTCGAGCATAATCAAGAACGATCCACTGCCAATCCAGAGCCTCAGTCTGTATATCGCGAGAGCGAAAGAGAAACACGAGAATAATGTCGATGACACAATTTAAGAAAGGCATCGGCACTCGTCGTTCCACGATTGCTTAATTACAGATTCTATGAAAAGTAGGCGGGCACGTTAAAGAGAGGGGAGGGAGGAAGAAAGTGTAGAAAGAAAGGAAGAGAGGTGGACAAATCCGCGCCGAAGTCGGTGATATGTGTCGCGCTGGCTCCCGGAGCCTCGATGACCTTGACCCCGCGAGCATGAAGCACCCATCGAGGTCAGCGGGTCTCGAGGTTGCTATGGCGCTTTTCGGCATGGTTTGGCTGCTGCGCGTCCGCTCTGAGATGCGTCGTTGCTCGAAATGTCGGCACGAGGAGATGCTCGCACAGCAGCAGCAACAGCATCAGCAGCAGGTGCAGCTGCAGCAGCAACAGCAACAGCAGCAGCACCATCATCATCATCACCAGCATCATCAGCAGCAACGTACTCCCCTGTCGCAGGCTACCAGCTTGCTGCAGACGATGTCCGACGACGGCGTCAGCTCGTCCGCCAACACCCTCTTCACGTTGGATACTCCTGGAGCGGCTGGCCCGGCTGGAAGTTACTGCGAAGTGCACGGATACGTTCAGGCGAAAGAAGGTAGTGTGTTTCTTCATATGTGTCTCTTTACCAGTTACTTCTGTTGTCAGGCTCATTTTTGACATACGTTGAGTTAATGCGTTATATAATGTATTGATATTGAAAAGTTAAAATTTGTAAGATGTAGGCTGCGTTCGGCTGCAATTTGGCGTTTATAGCTTGTGAACATCAATTGTCCTTGTTTGATATTTGATAAACAACGAGAATAAAATGATGCTGTCAGCGCTATAAAGCGAACGCAGTCGTAGTTTCGCGTTGTACGAAACAAAGAAGTTTCGAGCCTTTGACTTCAAGCTATCAGCCGCGTATATTATGCTTACCTTTTGTTAATACGCGCTTTTCGAATGTCCTCTTGAAAGTCTATCGTCAAGCGCTCGAATGTAAGCTCCGTGGAAAAGTTTCGCCCCCCTCCCCCGTGGGGAACGGAATGGAAGTAAAGACACGGAACTTTTGCAGAAATTGTATGGAATACAGTCGGCGGTGCGTGACTTCTATTGTTCGTATCGCGGAAAACACCGGCGCGCGATAATAAGAGAAAATCGTTTCGAAAAGGAGAAAGAAACGAACCTGACGCAACTCTCTTGCGCGCGCGCGTTCCCGATAGCTTGAGAAACACGACTAAATGTTAAATAACTCCGCGATACGAAGTGCCGTTAAATGCAAAACGGGTTGCAGCGTAATGTACGGCGGAAATTATCGACATACAATTGTCACAACACGTCGAGCGCACGAGTGGAGCGCTTGTTTCGCGCGCTTACTCTTGTTTCTCGTGGACTAGCCTCGAGCACGACCTACTTCGATTCCAGTCGCTTCTCCGCCATAAATTCAGAAAGTTCTTGCACTTCCGTTTTTCGATCTTGCTACGGTAATGCGGCCCCGGCATATTGCAAGAGCATAAGAAAACTTTGCCGAGTACGTGTCGTGATGCAGCCAAAACGCGGAGCGCTTGCTCGTTAGGAAACATTATCGATGAGACAGTGATGGATGGCGCGCGCTCGTGCATTTTAGAGCAGTATTGTGCGGATAATAAAAAAGACTTATAAAAAGTAGTGCAGTCCGATCGGCGCGCGCCACCGCTGCGATAATGTCCGTTGGAAAATCGAGTGGAACTTCCGTTCGTCGTGAGATTCGCGCATAAAGGGAGCTGCCAACGAACGCCGTTGTATTGTATTTATCAACGCCCTTCATCTGCCGACCGCGACTGCATTATGGCGAGTTGCGGAGTTTGTTACGCGACGCGGCTTTTATGCGACGCTATTATTGTTCCGCGGTCACCGCGAGGCTGCGTCCCTTCCTGTTCGTCTAAATGTTCGCGAAAGCGCGAAGAATCGACCTCGATATGTCAGAACCGATGATGATGATGATGATGATGATGTACGGAATGACAATCGGGAAATGGCTAAAATTAACAGCAGGTTACTTCGTTATAAATGCAGACAAAATTAAATAAATTAAACACTACTCCATAAAGGAAATTATCATTTTAAGAATATATAATATAAAAAGTATATATCTACACGGAAAGAACAATTTTCCTGGATCCAGATCTGAAAATAATTTTTATTCAATAATAAAAATAATTTTATTGGAAAATCACAATGATTGTCAGAATATCAAAACGTTTTACAGCAATGCTTATCAGTTTTAACATTCCAACAATTATTTTGGTAATTTAACAAAAAATTATTTTCAGATCTGTATTTAGCACAATTTTTAGACCTTTACCTTTCAACAAAATCGTTCTTTCCGTGTACGCATCTTGTGAAAGTAAATATAATAAATCTGAAACTTTTTTAGTTGATTGCATGGCTCAGTAATGTATATTTAGAATGCTTCCCATTCAGTGACATAAGTCGATATAAATGTCGTTCTATTCTTCTTGACATTCAATGAATAACAAAAATAGAACACTTATTGACTCGTGTCACAAATGGGAACCATCTTCACAAGATCTTGGCAAACATTTTTATGAATGAAATTTACTTGGAGTTCTTTGAAGATACAATTACAATTACTAATGTAAACAATTATTAATGTTACTTAGAAATTGTATTTCATAATTTTCAGAAGCATCTGGATTATTATGCAAGTTTAAATAATTATTTCAAGAATACATATTATTATATATCATTATAGCAATATAACAATTAGCTAAATTTAAATTTTTACCTTTTCTTATAATATTTATTTTTACAAGTTTATAGCAATATTTATTTAATTTTAGATTGATTAAAAAATTCTCAGAAATAATCCACAATTGTGATATCGTAGGCTAATGGGAATCGGTGCAATAATTGTTGCGCAAAGTTTTTATAATTGTTACAATATCCAACTCTATATAGATTGCGCGCCGCAATTTTGTCGATCTTGAAACACAATCCTTTTCCATAAAGCCAAAATATACCTGCAACTAATTAAATTGACGAACAATTTAATATTATTTTATGTTAAGAAGCATCTATAAAGGTGCGAATTCATGTGACGCTCGTTTTAGCGTTAGAGCCATGACACACAGAAAAACTTAAACAGTAAGACGTAAACAGTAAAGAAATTAATATATTGAATTTTTGGTAGTCACGAGACTTCGACTTTGACGTTAGCATAAAAAAAGAAACTGGATTTTCTCAGCTTCAGCGTCAAAGGCTGTTATTTTGTTCTGAATATTTGATACGAATGATACGATTGACATTAAACTTGATGTTGCCGCTTTTCGTGCAAGCCAACTATGATTACGTAATTTTGACGCTAAAAATAAGCGTCAAGCGTCAGCATGAAAAGGCACCTTAAGAATCCCCTTCCTCCAAATCTGTAAAGAATTTATTTCGAAAAATATCACCTCAGTTCCTAATATTTCTACTAATAAAAACAAGTTTTTTCTAAATAGAGAATGTAGCTCAATATATAATAAATCAGTAAAAAATAAAGGGCTATGAGCCAAAGCAGGATGTTGTGTGTTAGTTTTTTCTGTTACATAATATTTAATTAATTTCACGTTTTATAAAAATAACAGCTGTTTAAAGTTCAGCAACTTTCCGATCGTCATCTTGCGTTTTGAATCGTGAGTGGCAAATATCAAACTTTTCATCACGGTAGTCTTGAACCGGAAAACGCTGTGAGGCAGCATGCGAGATGCTAACATATGTTACCGCGCAAGACGGAGTTTAACGGATGAACGAGTCGTTTTCGGTTATTGTAGCGATCGTTCTTAACACTGCACAGCTGAGGCTTAGCAAGCGTTAGTCTTTCAAGTACGTGCATTAACAGACGCATGACGGTGACGAGAGTTACTTAATGTCAGTATTCGAGTGGGAGTCAACTTTAAAGCGGGAGCACAGACTTTTTGCATAACGCTGCATAACGCACAAGACATAAAGCATATGAGAATCAGCCAATCAAAGTATGAAGGGCTGTCTACAATACGTCGTATGTCAGATCGTAAGCCGTAAATCGTATAAGAATTGACCAATCACAGTTGAATGTAAGAAAAATATTCGACTATGATTGGTCAATTCTTAGTTAGTATGATATGAGTAGTGACTAACGGCTTATTGTAGAAAGCCCCTGAAATGAAGGACTCTAATTGGTTGATTTTGTTATGCATTATGTCTTATGCGTTATGCAGCATTATGCAAAAGTCTGTGCTCGCGGCTTTAGCCTACAATAACAGGATTAATTTATGCTCGACTATATGTAGACTCCTAATAGATTGTTACATGAGCACTCCTAGTAAAACGAGCTGAGGACAATTAATACATACTTAATTATTAAGGTGTAAAAGAAGGATCTGAACTGAAAACTCATTTAATTCTAGGAACTTGGAAGATAATACATATTGATTAAGTTGATTGAAAACGTACTTTACACGCACGCTGCGAATGCAGTTTCGTTATTCGTCGTCGCGAGAAGAGGAGAAAGGAAGGCATACTGGATGTGCGCGCGCGCGCGCGCGCGCGCGCGTGTGTGTGTGTGTGTGTGTGCGTGTGTGTGTGTGTTTTACCGGAGCTAAAACAGATGAGCCGGAGAGCGGCTCAGTAAATTTTTTATCCCTGAATAATCATCTCGCTCGCGTGTCGCGCCGCGCCGGCAAAGCCGCGCTTTTGCATGCGTGCCAGTTACACCGCGACGTGTGTAACTGAAATCCGCAAAGCTTTTCCGGATAGAGCGGCAGGTGAGGAGAGAAGAGAGAGGGCCTCTCTTGCCCGCCGGATTGTCTCCTCTTTCTTTCTTTATCTCACGCCGTGTGGCGGTCCGTGGCCCAACACTGACAGTACTGACACCAACACACGCACACGTATACACGTATGTATCACGTACGACCTAGTTATGAAATAGTTTTCCCCGCGCGCACGGCGGTATAACGGCGACTCAGCGGTATCGCACTTTAAAGCTGAAAGCATGTTCGTGTTGTGTTGCGAACGGCGGCCGCCGTATTGTTTCGAGTTTATTATCTTCCATCCCGCCTGCAGCTGTCCCGCGGGGACGCAGAGGGGTTAGATAAAATGGAACGGAAGAACCGGTTGAGAAAGTAGAGGAAGGAAGATCGAAAAAAGTTTCGGACTTTCGCGATAATAACGCCGGGCGCATTCTGCCCCGGGACGCAATTTTTCCGTCCAGATATATACAAGGCTCTCTGCTAACTGAAAATAATTCAGACGATACGTGAAATCGCGGAGTCGATTGCACTTTGAGTTTATTACCTTTCTTCCAGATCAAAATTGTAACATGGTAATTCGAGAGGAGCATTATGAAAGACAGTGAAAAACTTCGGCTTCTTGAATATATTTATATTGTAATAAAATAGTCGTCCATCAAGCCTCAACGTAATCCTCTTTGATGGAAGCTTCATTTCGGGAATGCCGAAGTAAAACTTTGCTTGAAAAAGATTCGAGCCAATTAGATGCTATTAAGCGATTGTGACAGACAAAAGCGGTACGCCTTTTCGTAATTCTGAATATATGTATATATTCAGAATATATATTCCGCGACATGCTGTAATTTCG